AGGAGCTTGGATTCTGCTGTGTACATTTGTTTGTTTTTTGTTGTTTGTGCTTCAGCACTGTTTATGGTCTGCATCAGTACAATAGGCAAATACTTTGTAATCTTTAATACATGATCAAGTATTTCAAGAAAAAGAAACATGTTAATCTGCTGAGTCAAGGAGGAAAACTGTATTCAGCAAATAAGTGACAGAAGAGAACTGCAATGTTTTCCTGTGTGGTAGCATTCCAACTTGGGCAGTCCTCCTAGTCCAGCTGTCTAGGAAGATGTCTCTTTGTTTTTTAGTTTACTACTTTCATAGCTGTTTGATTTTACAGGATCACAGAATGGTAGGGGTTGGAAGGGGACTCCTTTCTATTTATTTCTGTAAAGAACAGTGCATGTAATGTAGGAAAAAAAAATTTATGTACACATATATACTGTATATTTTGTACATAACATGTAAAAATACGCAGTGGTATAATTTCTGATCCAGCAGTGTGACATGTTAATATTATATTTCAGGAACCAAGTAATAGCATAGCTGCAGGTTTGATTTCTGAACCTGGTTTCTTTTTTTCTTTTCTCTGTTGACTTCTGTGGCTTGTTTCAAAGGCAAATACTTCTGTGGTGGCCACTCTCCAGCCCCATGTGCCTTTCTCCTGGCCACCACTAGTGCTAATGTGACACAGCAGTAACCAGGTTCAAGGGATCTTATTAGGAGAACACAATTCACTTGCGAATTAAATGAACAAAAAATACTGTCTCACTAGATTGCCTGGACGAGTGCCCCATGAGAAGGACAGGCGTACGTGGCTGGAATGAGTTCGAGGGTGGCTGTGCCAGCTTTGTTCCCCAATGGATTAGGTGGGGACTTGAGAAATGGTTGCAACCTTGTCCTGGAGTTGCAACTTCATGTATACTGCTCAGAAGGTTCCAGGGATGGTCGCATCTGTAGAGATGTTTTTGCTGCCGTGTAGCACTTACAAGACCAGTGCTTTCAAGGGGCAGTTTAGGCTGCTTAGAGCTGGGAGTACTTAAATTGCATAACCCAAATATTTATTTGTGAAACCACAATAAATAACTAAAACTGGTCGGTCTCTCTCAACAAATCCAACTTGTTAGACCCATAATAGAAATGCAACATAAAGATGGCAGAGCTGTTCTATCTGTTCAAACTATTCTATCTGCTGCCTGCCCTTTGAACTTGTTTGTTTAACTATTTGCCACATCTTTATGATTTTACTGGAACAGTGTAGCTTGGCAATGTCTTTTGAGTTGCCCGAATCATGTGGCAGACACATTATTGTAGCTTTGTTACCCTTCTCTACTCTTTCATAAGGGGAAGAATTTCTTTAGAACTAGCTTTTCGTTTTCACTTTCAAAAACACGGAACTCTAGGTTTATGTTTAGATAAGAGAAAAATCCATATTTTTATGTTATTCTTTGTCAAAGGAAAGCATTCTGCCTCTTAAGAACCTCAGTCTGTTAAAACAAGCTAGAAATTACAGATGTTCAAGACTGCCAAATATTTTTTGGGGTATAGTTCTTTAATGAATTGGATTTAAGCAAGATTTAAGATAAATGTTATTCAAAAAAAAGAGAATAGGAAAATTTCACCTTTCCTGTCTTCTGTGCTTCATCTATTTTTCTTCCTTTGCCTGCCAAAAAGAAGAATTTTCAGATTTCCTTAAAGGACAGGTAAACCTAACTGCACTGGAATTTGAGGTATAACACTAAAAGTAGTAGTTCTTAAACTGTAAGCTTGTTCCTTTTAGGACATGACCTCTAGGAATCTGAAACCTGAAAACTTTCCTGTCTGTCATTGATTGTCTGTTGTTGACAATCATCCTTGCTCAATCTGAAAATTAGCAGAAAATTTTCAGGTAGGGTCTTGTGCCAGTTTGCAGTTATCTCCTTCTTCCATACTTGCTGAATTTGGTGGCTTACGTGTTGGATCAGTTTCTTGTGCCTTTTCCTAAATGACCTTTAAGCATTTGTTGCAATTACCGTGACACTTAAGTATATCTTAGCTTGCGGGTGTCAGTGTCTCTCATATGCCAACAAAACCAATTAAATTAAAATGAATGAAGCAACAAATTGGAATAAGGATTTGAGATGCAACACGTTCATGTATTCACCTCTACGTTTCCTTTGCTTCTTGGAAAAAGCACTTTGGATACCGCCGAAAATGTGCGTTTAAAGATTATGTCCAAAAAGGGGGAAATTGCTAGTGTGGAAGGAATCTCACTTGGTTGTTCTATTATGAATGAGAAGATTAATTTGCAAGTGGAAATTACTTATGCCTCACCTTCAGACTTCTGAATGATCAAGGAAGTGAGAAAATGTGGTGTTGCAAGTTTTGCTGATCTGAGCTTTAGCTGAGGAACGGAGAATTTTGTAGTTACTCTCAAAAAGACTTAACCTCCTGCTGTGATGAAATAACAGTATGTAAAAAAATATACTTTAATCTTCTTGTCATTTTAGTATGTATTTTAACAGAGGGAGAACAGGAGCCCAGTAAAGCTACTCCCGGTAGTTTGGGTTTTGGTGGAAGGTGGGAGGGAGAAATGACCAAAGGCCTGGCAGAATAACCTGTCAGTCTGCTCTCCGAAGACTACGCAGGAAAGCCTCATGTTGAGAAGCTGTCTGCATCCCTCTTACCGGTCCCTGACTGAACCCTCGCATCATCTGGCATAGACCATTCAAGAACTTGTCCTGGGTTAACCAATGACATTCAGCTGGAGATGATAAGCAAACAGAAAATTATCTGGTACTTGTAACAGCAGTTGGGACAAGTCTTCTTGCATTTCAGTGGCCCTTGGTGGTGGCGAAAGAAGTGGTGGGATGGGGACAGTATGAGGTTTTCACCTGGGTTTGCAGCATGGCAGCATAGAGTAGTAACTGCAGATACTCATTCTGTATGGGGAAGCGGGATAAGAGCTGTTCCTTGTCACTGGACTTAAACCTTACACTTGCAAATGAATGACCAAAATAAAAGGTTTTGTAGGGAAGGTACTGTACTATCTGCTGTATGTCTGTAGAAGTTGAATATGTCTGTTAAGGCCCTAAATACATACAAAATATGCTACTGCTCTGCCCTTTCAGAGATTTTTGCTGAATACACTGTGCTGTGGCTGGATTTCAGTAAGCCTTGAGCATGCATCTGAACTAGTGTAAGCTATGCAATACTTGCAGTGTTACAGATTGTTAGCTAGAGTGGTTTTCCTACTTTTAAGTAATCGCATAGGAATTTCACATTCAAAATGGTTCATGTGTGCTTTAAGAATAAGTAACTTTGCAGGCTTGTGGTGCTGTGAGCAGAACTGTATATTCATCAAGTGTCAGTTGCTTTCAAGGCTGGATGTCAGACAGGAAATACTAGAGTCAGTACATGCATATAGACATCCCCCCCCCCCAAAATTCCCAAACCACTGAGGAGCAGAAGGAGGTTTGGTGAGTTTGGAAGCCCTTCCGTAGTTGCTTTCTGGGTCTTTGGATGGCTGTCAAATTTTGTTTATTTTGGTGGTACAGTTTCAAGTCCTGCAAAACCACAAGAGAGCAGCTCATTTCCTTGTTTGCCATCTGGAATCTCTACTCTGAAGGTGGTAACCTGTTGAGTATGATCAGGAGTCGTACCTCCTGAGCGCAGTCCAAGTGTTAAAATACTGTGATCCTGCAGCAACACCTGATACAGCTGTGAAGAAAGGTGCTAAATCATAATGTATGGCTCAGCATGCAAATTATGTGTTATTTTCTCTGCTAGTGGAGTTTGAAGTTAACATTATACTTTATAGGAATTTAGCTTTTTGAGATATTTAACTTTAAAACTGAGAAGGGTGCTGTTGGATGGTGTGGTTGTGATGCTGAACTTTGTTGTGCAATAAGAATTGTAATGCATCGGGAATAGCTGTTCAACAGGACATTAAACTGAAAACTAGTGTTAGAAATGTGCAACAAGAACTGATTGTTTTTCTTTAATTTTTTTTAAATAAAGTCAAAGTGCATACTCAAGTTAGTTTTTGAGTTCTTTTTTAAAAAGGCTTCTTTCTGAACACCATTTCTTTGAACTGCTTCTAATAATTTAACCTGTGTCGGTTGAAATACTTGTGTAGTGAGGAAAAACTGTTGTGCTAAGTATATGATCAGCAATGGAAAAAGAATGCCTACGTTTCACAGGTCCTGAAACCTCTCTTTCAGCTGGTAGTGGTGGAATTATTGAAGTTTATTTTCTGGAACGAGCAACAACCCAGATACTACTAAAGTCTTCTCTCAGCTTCTTTGTGGCTCTATGAAGAGTTGAGCTGCTTTCCCAGGAGACAGTGAAAGATGGGAACATGCAGAGTTGTGCAGTATTTTTCCATAGAATTTAGATATTGTTCCTCAAGGCAAATGCTAAGAATTTGAGGAGGTGTTTGTTCCGGTGTTGGGAGGGCAGGTATAAAAAGAAGTGACTTGTTGCACTTTAAAATGCAAGTGAGGAAAGCACTTTAAAGGAAGTGTTGATATACAGTGAGTCTGGCTTGGATATCTTTTCTTTCTTCTTCAACATGTAGTTCTTCAGTCAAGGCAGTGTCTATTTTGGAGCCTGTCGGTTAAATTCCCAGTATGTCTGTTGGTGTTACTTGTGCTCATGCAGCTGGGTATGGGAAGAGATCCTTTTTTTTAAAGACTGCCACAGCTTCTAATGTGTATATTCAGCAAGCAAAGTCTGTGGGCTTTGTGGGTGTTCTGTAACAGTTGCCAGGACTTCTAAATACCACCACTGTTTTTTTTCTTTTCCAGACAGTTTTGCTGATGTTCGGTTCACACCTTATGTTCGTAAGGATAGATGGTGAATACCTAAAGCTTAGGCACTGTCATGGTAGCTCCAGTTGGCTATCGAATATTAGTAGACATTATTTGAAGGAACAATTCTAAACTTTAAACTTTTTTCTCTTTCTGTACTTCATACTGTTTACCACTATTCTGCTCCCCACTCTCCAAAAATATTTCTCAATCTAATTTTTTGTTGTATTTCAGGGAATACCTTGGAAAGCAGTTGCAGTCAGAACAACCTCAAACGGCCACTGCACGGAGCTAAACACTTCTGTCAGTTCATGCTTATAACTACAGTATGCTTGTCTTTAAATTAATATCCAGGAAACACTGAAATCACATGTTCTTTGCCTGCGACTAGGACATAAACTTCATAAACTTTCCAGCTTTCCTCCAGTGTTGTTGGCTTAGTAAAATTTGTTCAACTACTTCTGATGATTATCTGTTAGCTTCCTGTTATATTCTGAATGTATATGAGGAAATGTGGCTAATATATTGTGTTTGTTTTATGTATTTATTCTCCTAATAAAGAATGTTATTAAAGGATATTCATTCCATTATAATTAGCCTAGAAAAACTGTTCTCGTCTTTTGGTGGGGTTCTCAGTGTTGTCACTTTCCAAGAAAAGCAAGTAGTCCCTATGTGTCTCCAGGCAAATGAATAAATCTTTGACTTGGTGTTATGTAGGAAATGCAATATTCTGAGAAGTGTGGATTATTGGTACTAAAATATATACCAAGTCTCAAAACAGTATTAAAATTGTATGGAAAAGTAAATGTGCGGGGGTTTTTGGGGTGGTGTACTACTCTCTTCTTAAAGACTACATTTGAAAGATCTGGATATAAGAAGAGGAAAACAAACACTCCTCTAATGAAAATGGATACACCTAAGATTATTAGTCCAGCTGTATAACATCAGTGTTAAGGCTGTAGATCAGAGATCAAGTTGTTTTTTTCTTTTTCAAGAGCAAAAGTGCAGTAACTAATGAACTTGAAATTTCATGGAGTGTTTTTGTTATTGAAAATACTTGTAAATGTTAGGGTTCTGGTGTACTTCCTTTGTAGTAAGCCAAATGAAGCAGCTATATCAGTCTCTTCTGTGTTTTACAGCTCCTGGTAATAAAAAAGGATGTAAGCATCAGTAGATCAAAGATGATATTGCATTGGCTTGTGAAAACAGTCTTATTGCGTATATAGGAGCTTAGCTCCACACACTTGCACCACGAAGCAGTTAATATTCTTGTGATTCATTTTCAGAATTAAAAAAAAAAAAAGATGAGAGGACATGGCTTATTCTCTTCAGTAGGCTTGGGTGATGCAAGTCTCTGAGGAAGCTTAGGGTACTTTGTCATCAAGTGACAAAAAAAAAATTGGGGGAAACTTCTTACCCAGTCTGGGTTTTCATCATATATAACTAAAAGTTGACTACTGTTGCAATGGAGAGAGAAGACTTTCGGGGGTGACAGTTTGTTATGATTTCTTGGCCTGCTTAATTAAAATTGGGTTTTGTAGATTAATGACCAATGCTTACTTCTGCGTGTAGGAGGCATAGGCTTTGATATTGAAGTTAGTATCATGAGGATAGATGCTGAAGCCTGAAAAGAATTAAACTGGCTTTAAATTGGATCTGATCTCAGCACTGCATTTTCCCACAGTGGTGAGGGACACTCATGGTGTGGAAAGCTGTTGGGAGAATAAAGGTGCACCTACACTGCCATTTTTATCTTGGGTCGCGTGATGGTGTCAGTGCATGAATGGGCTTCTTCTCTGATAAAGCTAAACTGCAGGACGTACATCCCATGTGTCTTGGCTTCTTAGCAAGCATTCAGTCCACTGGACCAGGTAAGATTTTTTTGAAGTGTGGCCCTGTGAAATGCATGTGGAGTGAACCCCAAGTCATATTCTCGTGTCACGCTTCCTTCTGATGTAAGCATAGACGAAGACTAATCTTGAAGATGCTGTAAAAGGTGGGTCCTGTGGTTACAGCTGTAATGTTGGGCACAAGAAGCATGATAGGGCATTAATAGGGAAGGAATATACTCCCATCCTGAAGACCAGAAGTTTGTGTTGTTTCCATGTCTGAAGGGAACACAGAAGCACCGCTTGGTAAGAGGATTTGGGTCTGAGTTCTAGGAGTCAAGGCAATGAATGCTACCAATGGCAACCTTTCCTATTTTTTGGGAGCTATAAATAAATAAATAAGCTATTCATAACGTGCAGCAAAATTGTTTACAGGTGTTGTCCTGAAACAACTAAATATAGTATTCACATCTTATACAAATAAATTCTCCTCTGTTGCGTTGCTAGTATTACTCTGTGCAGAGTTTAATTCTTCATTATGGGGTCTTTTTCCAAGCTACGTGACACCTGGTGTTCTCTTCCACTTAGTTACAAACCTGTTGGAGACAGACGAAGATATTTAAAGGAATGGTTGTTTCACTTATATCGGTGTGCAATATTGATGCTCTGGTGCCTGTGAAACCTGAAAGCCATGAGATTTCCAGCCCCTGATGGTAACATTCAGGTGGCTCGAGGGTTGTGATGTCGGGGAGTTCATGCCAACAATTGTACCATAAGAAGCTTGGGAACTCGGGGAGGGTGGGGTTGTGAAAGGTCTTTCTGTGCAGCTCATAATTTGGACTGTGAAGTTGCCAGAGCTGAAATTTCTGCAGGAGTTGGAGCGATCACCATGTCCTAGAGGTCCTGGGGGATCTTGGCATGTAGCAGGGAGGTACAGACTGGTTTCCAGCAGAACCAACAGGTTCTCCATCTCCCGTCCCATGGCAAGCCTGTTCCTGTAGGCACTGGAAGGCCTTGGATCCATGGTCCCAGAAGAGAAAATGGGGCAGAGCTGTTGTAGAGCTTTTAACCTTGGAAATCGGGAAACTCAACCAAAAGCTTTTGTTGAATTTCAACTAACTCATAAAACTTTCTACTGCATCTGTTTTTTGTCTGACAAGTGATAATTATTCTGTAGCTTTTGCTGCGGAGCACTGTTCTTACTGTTCACCTGTTTGCATTAGCTCACTTGACTTGTTCAGCCTCATTTTCCCAAAATCCGGCATGGGGCAGGCGGGTAGGTGGATGCCATGGTGGCGGACTGAACGCCTCAGGGCCATGCGATGACAGTGTGGGTAGAGCTCGGTGGTAGGAAGAGAAGCATGTGCCAGCTGCTTGCTGCCTTCCTTCGCTCGGGTGACACGAAGGTTTAGAGATGCCTGGAGATTAGCACCAGATGACTGACTAACTTCTGAAGCGAGGAGATAGTTACCTTCCTCTAAATTAGGGTAATCAATCTTCTTTTTATGAAATTTTTCTCCATTTTACTTATTGTTGTTTTCACTTTTATGTTGCATCCAAGAATAGATGGAGTTGAATTTTCCTATAATGTAAGTGACTGAGTCTTTGAAATCTTTATAAGCTGACGTTAAAGTTTTGCAATTGAGGTTTGTTTTGCTTTTCATGATAATTCTGCTTAAGGGTTTTTCTTTAAACTTTGGTCCTGGTCTGAAATCTAAATGAAAATAAATTTAGGTAAGCTTGCAAGATGCAGCAACCGTGGAAATAATTTAAACCTGTGACGGTTCAATGTGGGAGGGATGCAGGGGAAACGTGACAAAGAACAGTTCTGACATCTGGAACTAAGGCAGGAAAATGCTTTAATTGCGTGCTTAGTGCGTGTTTATTATTCCCACAAGCCATTTGAGATCCAAAGGCCTGCAGCTGAATGAAGAGGAGGCCAGATCCTGGTCCTGGCCAGCGTGAGCTGCTCCGCTAGCAACAAACCAGGGCTGAGCAGGAGGCGGCTGCCTGGGCCCTGGAGGTACCTCGCTGTAACAAACCTTGCTGCAGTGTCTCGTCAGAACTGCAAAGACGTCTTTGTGCACCTGCATGACCAAAGGAAAATTGTCAATTTCTAGTACTCAGACCTTTTGGGTCAGTACTTTTCTTTTCATGAACGTGACCTGCTAGGTTTAGCCCAGTGAGTGATAAGGGGTCAGAAGGAATCCTGTTGACTCACCTCTGTCCAAAAGCTTTTGCCTTTTGCTTTGGCAGCTGCTGCAGAGCAGTTGTGAGCTGTCTTTTTAGATCCACGTGCTGTGTCAGAGTTGAGAACAGAGCTAGTGCTCTCGTGATGACCAGGTATGTTATTAACTTGATTATATTTGCTTTCTCTTAGACTCCAAAATGATTATTCAGAATAATTTAAACTGCTGTTGAAATTTTCAGATGACCAAGGGTGTCATCATTCAGATGCCCCAGACAGCAGCAGCCTTGCTTACAAATGTTAGGTGTAGCATTTAGGGAGATACGTGGGAACTCTTTGTACCTTAGGGTATGCATATTTCTTTGGTACAGCCTGCTTCTGAGATGCATCAGACATTGCTGAACACAAATGATGTGCTAAAAACTGCCAATATCCTTTATTTAAGAATATTTTTCATGAACCGCCCCTTGGCCTTGCTGCTGCTCGTAAGCGAAGCCACTGTACAGTAAGGAGCATAATGAAAACCAGAAATGGAAGAATGGCTGACTGCTATGCTGAGTGTCTTGTTTCTGTTACTTGGTTTTGTCCAAAAAATTTCTGTGCTATGGGAACTTAATTTTTCTTGGGTGAAAACTTAAAAAGGAAAAAAAGTATACTTCATATAAAACTAGGCAGTGGGACAATAGTTTTTTTTTTAATCTGATAATCTCACAGTTTTTCCTAGAAGTGCACAATTTGTTCCTCTGTCTGAAAGTTAACTCTGCAGCAGGGAAAAATTAAGTTTTTCATAAGTCGTCTTTGGTGCCATTATATGCATAGTCAGGGTACAGTTTTTTTCAAGGTTCTTCAGTTAGTTTGACTTGTCTTGATTCTGCATAGAGGAAAAAAGTGTCAAGCTGAAAATTTAAATAATTTTTTCAGTGTCATCATAAGCTTTTTCTATAAAGGCCACACACATCCAGCTCTGCTAAAAAATGGGCAAAGAGATTGTGTACCTGATTGTGGTGAAGACAATTAAAACCTATCGATTCGGAAATCACAGAACTGCTAGAGTTTCAGGTTATTTTGTAGCAAGAAAACATGATAAACTGCAGACTTCAAGGTCTTCTTTCTCCAGATAACTTTCCTGAAAAGGAAGCGTGCAAAACAGGCCTATTCTGTCAGGCTCAGGTTGTTGAAATACAGCTTTGGATTATGAGTCTGCCAGTGTGGAATCACAGAATCACAGAATGGTACGGGTTGGAAAGGACCTCCGTGGATCATCTAGTCCAACCCTCC